GAGCGACACTTTAACAGTAGGCTAGTTTAGCAGTAACTCATGAGCTTAGCAACACTTTATCAGGAGGCTAGTTTAGCTGTAACTCACTCGCTAGCTAGCTTAGCGCATTCCAGCCTACCTGTAACGTGACACTCCTTAAGAACCGTGACAGAGGAAACTCTCAACAAATATCATTTAGTTCACCCAAAGCTCAATAAATACGCCATAATAACTGCTAGCTTGTAACCAGTGATAGCTAAGCTAATTCAGGACTGCGCAAGCGCGTTGGCTGTTCCGTGTTTCATATTATGAAATTTATAACAAAAAACCAGAAGCATCGAACGACATAATCCGTTATTCGAGAGGAAACTGAAGGAGTTAGCTTGAGACTGCCGTGAGTAGCCATAAGCTACGTGATGTTAGCTGCGCTAGCTCCTGCCAGCTCGGTCAGCCTCTGTTTCCGCCCACAACAACACGATTTCCGCCTTGGAGTCCTTCAGAATAAAAGCGGAGGCGTCATCGTGAAAAGTGAGCCGCCTGCTGTCCTGGATCCGTTTTATCCTCACGTTATATATTTTAATTGTTGTATAGAACTAATAAACTGTTATATAGAACTTCAATAACTGCAGTCAGGAGACCAGACATTCAGTCCATGGCTTTTCTTTTATTATCCAACGGCCACCTTCACCCCTCATCCCATAGAATGGAACCCTTTTGCTTCTACGGCCACACTGAAGGGACATATCGCAAACGCAAAACACTCAATTCAATTCAATTCATTTTATTTTGTATAGCCCATAATCGCAAATAACAAATTTGCCTCAGAGGGCTTTACAGACTGTACACATACAACATCCTCTGTCCAGAAACCCATCGGCACAGGAACAACTCCCCAATGAATGAAAGAACCCTTTCAAGAGGGAAAAAAGGGAAGAAACCTCAGTGAGAACATCAGAGGAGGATCCGTCTCCTGATGGACGACTACAATGATGTCATGTGTACAGAATGAACAATGTATAATACATGAGACTATATGACAGAAATGATTCAAGTAACTGTGAGTAGTAAACCAGACGCACAGCAGGACCCCTGCAGGGACCACCACCATCAGATAGAACCACCATCAGATAGAACCACCATCACATAGAACCACCATCACATAGAACCACCATCCACAGAAGCCTGTGGGGAGGGAGAGCACAGAGTCCACCTGTCTGTCTGTCCACCAGTGGCGTTGCTGGGATTCAAAGGGGTTCAATCAGAGAGGGTGATTTTGCTCTGTAGTGTTGCTTGCATTCAATATATGAAAACATTTCAGCATCGTGGTGAAATTTGACTTTGAGATTTCAGTTACATGAACTTTG